CTTACAGAATAACATTTGAGACTATCATTTATTTTATCGTCAGATTCTCTTCAACTGCTTACAACCTAAAATGTTGATTGTATAAATCTGTCATATTTGCAAGGAGCAAACATGATTTTTCTTAACAGGGACACAAGTTGACAGACAATGTTCAGATGTTCCACCTATTACATAACTTCTGAAGGAAGAGGTCAAGATTCAAACAAAATACTCAAACTGAGTTGACCAGTCAAGACAACAAATACGAGAGAAGTTGATGATGATGAGTAATAGACAGTGTGGTGAGTTCCACTCAAATCATAGAAACAGACAAAAAAGACCTGAATAACACTAAAGCAAAAAAAATGGGTAAAAGCAGAAGTTTATGTAATCAGTTGAGACAAACAGATTAGACTTTGGGTCAACAAGGTAGCGAAAGACTAATAAGTGAATCTTTCTGAATACATAATTCAGGTTTGAAACGTTTCATAACGATTACTTTGGTAAATTTGAGGTGTCTACTCATGACCCGTATAAATAAGATGTCTAGCAATAGCACTATACAAGGCGTTTGGTGACCCAGCATCTAATCACTTCATCTTAACCGATTACGTAATCCTTCGATTTAACCCCTCCCCAACCTTTTTTGCTTTAGTTTAACTCAGTACTATGTAATTGGTACAATCATCATGTTTTCCCTCTCCGTTGTCTGCAACAGAATGCATATCCTAAATCCGTAACTGTCGAGTCACCTGACAACTCCAGTAGGTTGAATGAAGCAGCTCAATCTTCGGAAAGAAGACAAAGCAATAAGTCCGACAGGGTGCTTCTACTAAACTCTAATCCTAAACACCATAATTTTGAAAATACGTCTAATCATAAGATTCGAGATACTAACAGTGTGAACAGACATAAAGGTGTGATACATAGGAAATACTGATTAATAAATAAAAATGGATATGTATCACTAATTATTTATACTTGGTCAAAATTCTCGACTGTCCATATCTTCTTATGGAGACGTTAAGAAATGTTTTACAACTGTTTACCCACACACACATACACACTCTGTTTAAAGTGTTTATCAAAGGTAGACCAATAATATTTCTAAGTCGGAGGTCAAATTTTGATCACAGTTCATAGAATTTTGTTTATCATACTTGTTGATACTTGTTTTATGACTCAGGATTGGACAAAGTTTTAAAAAACAAGAGTTGTTCCTTTTATATATAAGCCTCTGTTATGTTAATTTCGATTAATTTCCCTGAAGAAGTTCATTTCAATCTCGCTGAGATTTTACAAATATAATTTTTTACTAAAGTTCATACCAGATTGCCGTTGGAATTAATCCTTTGAATCTCGCAGTGATTTTACAAATGTTTTCTCGGCTTATCTTCAATATACAATTGAGTTTTCAATGTAACCGACCATCGACTTAACATGTTTGTATTTTCTTTGAATCTTGACCTCTTCCTTCATAAGCTATGTAATAGGTGGAACTTCTGAACATTATCTATTAATTTGTGCCTCTGTGAACAAAAATCATGTTTGATTCTTGCAAGGATGACAGAATCCCATGTACATTTATACAATCAACATTTTAGGTAGTAAGCAGCTGAAGAGAATCTGGCGACGAAATAAATGATGATGGCCTCAAATATTATTATGTACAAACATTTGTCGTTTTTATTTTTGCTTCGCTTAAATTCATAAACGGGAATAAATGCATAAAGAAACTAAATTGTTTTGTTCTGTGTGCTTAACAGAATTAGAAGTGAAAAGCATCTATAATTCTCCGATCTGATCATCACTGCTCGAATCGGATTTTGCACAGATGTGCAGTAGTTCAAGTTACCACACTCTCTCCTAGTAGTATACATGGCAAGAGAAAAGAGAGATTTAAAAGTAAGAGAGATAACAAACAGTAATACGCAAGAATGATAAAGCCTTGATGAATATGACAGATCACAGAAAATGAATGCCTCTGCGCTAGCCAATGAGAACGATTTTGAGCCATATCACTAATTTTCTCCAGCTGATATTGGTTCTTACAACCATGAGGACCTCAACCAAGCCAGGAAGTCTACACCTCCCTACCTGACTGGCTGGTTTAAACTAACTGTTGTGGATTTCATTGACTGATCAAGCCATGTTTTCGTTTGACCACCACTGACTAGCTCTTTTCCAATCTGATCCATCCTATGTCAGCTAACATTGCCCATTGACCGTTGAGGAAGGCGATGGATTGCGAGGCATGTGTAACACATAATGTCCTAACCATCTCAATCGATGCAGCTGCTTCAACACCTCGTCGATTGATTTTCCCTCCTTACCTACCACTCGACCGATGCCTCACCTCAATATTGCTCACCCTATTATACCACTTCACACGGGAGATAGAACGTAGACACCTATGATCAAAGAAAGCTACCGGTCTTTACATTCATTTCTTCCACTTCCAATGACCATGTCTCACTCACAGCTATAAAGAAGGACGGAACGAACTGCTGCTGTGCAGTACACACGCCCTTCGACAGATAGTCAGTCGGATATCAAGTCTGATAAGCCAGAGATAGAGTAAGTTGGTTGGCAAATGCCAAACGAGTCTTCTGTATCCATGCTGTGATTTCGTCAGCCATCAACCCACTAGGGTTGATGCATTTTTCCAAATAAGTCAAGTGAGTGGTTAACAAGCCCTATACAGAAACACCTCGGGTAGAGTGAGGGCATACAACCAACTATCATCACTGTTCCCAACCAACAGTGGGGTTAGACAGGGTTGCCTAATCTCTCTATTTCTCTTTAACTTTGCCATCGATAACATTCTGGAGTCAGCTCTGAAGGATGTGCGTGAAGGTGGTGTAGATCTGCTACCTGGAGATAGACTTTTCGACCTTGAGTATGCAGACGATATCGTCTTACTGTGCGATAGCATGCAGGCTGCCCAAATCGCACTTAATCAGTTGGCGATCAGTGTCTGTAAGTGTGGTATGTGCTTTGCACAGTCTAAATGCAAAGTAGTGTTACAAGATTGGCAGGAGCCTGTACCTGCACTCACTCTTGCGGGTGAACCGCTTGTAGTTATGAAAAGTTTGTGTATCTGGGTAGTTGTGAGTGCTGGCGGAGGGGTGACGGATGAGATTTCCAACCGTATAATGAAGGCTAGGGTGGCATGCATCAACTTTAGCCACCTCTGTCGCCGTCGCGACGTTAGCCTGGCTGTCAAAGGTCGGGTATACAATGCTTCGGTGCGGGCTGTCTTGCTCTACGCCTGTGAAACCTGGCCTCTCCGAGCTGAGGGTGTGAGGCGACTCTGTGTGTTCGATCATCGCTGTCTCCACAGGATTGCTTGCGTTCGATGGCATCGTCGCGTGAGTAATTCTGAGGTTCGGCGGCGTGTGTTTGAACACAGTGGAGATCACCATTCATTGGGTGTCGTCATCTGGAAACACTAGCTCCGGTGGCTTGGACATGTGCTGCGAATGTCATCCCAGAGGCTTCCGTACAGGTCTCTGTTCGCTAGCCCTGGGATGGGATAGAAAAGGCGGAGGGGTGGTCAGTCCATGACGTGGCGTCGTGGGATGAAGGATTTTTGTGCTAGATTAGCATCGGTTGGTGCGTCACGACTCCCTGGTTGGGATCCGCGAGATAGCTTGAATCGATGGCTCAAAACGTTATCGGATATGGCCAAGAATCGTAATCAATGGCGAACGTGTTGCAATTTCCTTCTTTCCATTCATGATGGTAGTTAACGAATTCTGTTTGAACTTGTTAAACATAACTTTTTTGTTTCCAGATGAAGTTCTTTATCCGTTTTCTACTTATATTTTTACTTTTGATCTATGTTGTTTTATTATTATTTTGTAGCGCATCTTTCTTGGTGCCATATTGTACCAAGTGTTTTCTGCGTTTAAATAAAATAAACTAAAATAACACGCTCTACCAATTCACTTTCTCCTTATCTTTAAGCTAGGAATCGATGTAGTTCAATCCAGTCCTATAGTATCATCTTACATCCAATAGGAGCGAATCGCATGCCAAATATTCGAAAGTCTGTGCTCCTCTCAAGGTGTTCACAAGACTTTGTTCTACTTTGTCAGCGTCTTCATCTAGGAGGCAGGACTATATCATCTGCATATTCTAAGTCAATGAGACTATTGTTCCCTGATGGTAACAAGTCAATCCCTGAGTCGTTGAAGTCAGCAGTTAGGGTTATGTCCATTAGTACATCTATGATGAAATTAAACAGAAATGGGAACCGACAGTAGACATCTCTAACAGACACCACTGGGTGTCATCACTTCAGGTAACAACCCTCCATGGGCTGTTACCTGGCTGCATGAGTTGAATTCGAGTAGAGTGATCTGATCTGCTCACGTGCTGCGCATGCCTAGCCATCGTCTCCCCCGACGGGCATTACTAGCTGATACAGGTGCAGGCTGGAAAAGAGTAAGTGGTGGCCAAACAAAAACATGACATCAATCCATGAAATCCCTGACAGTTAAACTGAGTCAGGTATGGAGATGCAGACTTCCAGGTTGGGGCCCTCGGGACTCTAAGAATCAATGGCTGGAGACAGACAATAGGTGACATGGCTCAAAATCTTTGTCAATGGCTTACGCAGATATATTCAGTCTCTGTAATCTTTCATATTTCTTCCTACCATTACTCATTCTATTTCACTCTTATACTTGTCAAAACTCTATTGATTCTCTTCACTCATCTTCTTGTCTACCTTTGTGTGCTATTTGGAACGTGGCAACTCGAACTGCTGCACTTCGGTGCCAAGTTCTATGTTGAATCCAGCCAGATCTGATCACTTGATTCAATCATACACCTACCTAAACTACATTGACAAAAAGATGCCACCGTGACAGTTAAATTGCGACTATTTCTTTTTAATAAATAGTTGTGGTGCATGCAACTTCTCTTCCTACTACTGCTGTGTGCACATGAATACTCATCACATCACAACAAGAAATTGGAGAAGTACAACTGAAAATTTATTATGCAATCATATCTGTAACATTATTCTTGGAGAAGCTGGAAGGAAGCACCCCGAAGTAAAGGACTTTGAATAGAGGTCATAAAGGAATATGACAGATAAACATTTGCACATATAGTTCAAAATATTCATTCAAACGAACTAACTGAAAACTGTACAATAAGTCATAAAATAATAAATTGACAGATACACAACAACCCAAATTATTGATGAAGAGCGCTGAGCACAGCTGAATTGAGTTGAATTGAGCAAATGCCAAAGGGGAGGGGAGGAGACATTGAGGACATGAACCCAATTGGGAAGGGAATTTTTACATTGATCACTTCAACTGGACAGATTTCTTTTTAAGCATTGCACGGATAGCACGAGCTCGCATTTCCAATTCAGTAATTTCTTGATGAACTAAATCCTATAGTATTATTTAAAAAATAAATAATATACGGAGACGAAAATTAAACGCGTGTAAATAAAATAATCGAAAGCACATAAATACTCACAAATATTGGTTAGAGGATTTCATAATGAGTTGACATCAGTTAGAGAACCATTGGAAAACCACCACGGAATACTGGACAGCTGGTTCCGTCGTCCTGGCTTGGGACTCTTAAGCAGTATATACCCTCCACGGGGGCTTGAACCTAGGACCTTCCGGTTACAAGGCGAGCAGCTTTCAAACGACTAAGCCACCGGGACCCCATTCAATGGCTAGCCCATGAATTCTAACTTCTGTCAATTCACAACATAGAGCAACCACTTCGCAATGTCTTCAGTGAGTTACTGCCTCACCTTAAACCTGCTGTTCCCTATTGGTCAAAGCTTTCCACTAGAACCCCGAGTCACTGCCTGAATAGGGCAAGTTGCTGGTGAGCATCGGATCAATTTTCAAGGATAGGTTTTGTAGGGATTTTGTTTGATTGGTTGGAGGATTTCATCATGATCTGACATCAGTAAGAAGTCTGCAAGCTCACCGTGTAACCAGAAGGTCCTCGGTTCGAACCGTGGAGGTGGATGCGTGCTACTGAAGAGGCCAAACTGTATAACGGAAGACTTTATGTTCTACTGGGAGGACGCAAGGAATAAATAAATAAATAAATAAACAATCATGATGATAATGCAGCCTGAGCAATCAGATTATGGGATCCCAATCTATGGATACAAAAGGAGACAGTAGTTAATATACAATTCAACTTTTTGGACTTTTCCGTTGATTGATTGGACCGAAGTGTTCAACTGCAGGTTGACATGTCGGCCTCCTTGTTCAGATGCTTTGTCGATGTCTCAATTAGGATGAAATGCGCCTCCTAGAGACCACTACTGCTAGTCATCATCCACCATATTACTTCGAGAGAGAGTAGTTATATTAAATCTACATTGGTGGTATACCCTGATTTTATTTTTACAATCCTCTTGCCCTTTCCACCCCCAGTTTTATTATTATTATTTTATCTGACATAATGTTTGTTTTCTCACGATATGTACAAATCGTAAATGACAGTTGAGAACTAACCTTGGTGAGGAGTGTTCATCAGACTCTCTTGTGAGTTTAGAACAACCACGTTAAAATCTTGTTATTTAGTCCTGTATGGCTTACATATGTTAAATTTATTTCAGTTAGAGAACCATTGAAAACTGGCATGGACTACCGCACCAGTGTTTCTCCCTAGTTTTCGGAATCATCGGCAATACGCTCCCACCGTCAGGGTTCCAGTCCATGATCTTCCGGTTACAAGGCAAGCTTATATACTATTCAGCGACTGGAAACCGTTTCAATGACTGATTAATTCTAACTTCTACTAATTAGTGATGCATTTAGCGTGACCACCAACCAATGTCATCGAAACTCAGTGGATGCGTACTGCCGATGAGTCCAAAACTGGGACGAAATCACTGTGTAGTAGTCCATGACGGTTTTCAATGGTTCTCTAACTGATATCAATCTGCGGTCTAACCTGAAACAAATACAATCCCTGCAAAAAACCAATTCTTGAAAATTAAATTTATTTATTTGGTTTTTAAGAAGTTTCCTTATATTTCAATATTATATCTAAATGTTTATAATTGTATTTATTCTACGTCAATAACTTCATGCTTATACTTTAACATGCATTTTGATAAACATTGTACTTTTCTTAAAGACATTAACAAATTACCACTCATCGCTTATAGATTCATATATTTGTTGAAAGTGATCCTTTCGATATAATTATGTTCTCTGAACTAGTTGATTTGATTGCGAAGCTTTCGTTGTCCAGCTTCTAGACAACATTTTCAGCGCGGGTTTTAGTTTAAAATCGATTTATTTAAATTCTCCATGAATTATGTAATTTTATTTCCTGGAGACTACTGTCGTGACCGGTTGCTAATTTACACTCCTATTGATCATTTTTATTGGACTTGGAATTTGAACTTTCTTCTCATGTGATTTACTTTTTTTTATTAGCTGGTAAATTTGGTCTATATTAACATGTTTGTTAATCGCTGGCTGATTTACTTGAGTACCAGGCTTCTAGGTTTTCTCTGACATCAGTTTCGGTGTTTCCTCTGTTGAAAATTTCGACATTATCCCAATCATCAAATTGATGTCTATAATTATCTACATGCATTGATATGAAACAGGAATATATATCATATCTTTTTACAGCTAATTTGTGTTTATGGATTCTGAGTCGAAGGGGACACCCACCTTGACCGATGTAATGTCTGTTACAGTTCATACAATTTATTCTGTAAATGGTATTTGTTATTACAATATTCATGTATTTCTATGTATTTTAGCCTTAAAACAAAATTTTCATGGGATACTGAGTTAGGTCCCAGTGGTTGAATGGTCTACAAGCTTTCCTTGTAATCAGAAGGTCCTAGGTTCAAACTCTGCTAGTGGGTGCGTACTGTTGAAGTATCGTAAACTGGATGAAACAGTTGTCCAGTTCACTTTGGTGATTTTCAGTGGTTCCTTACTTACTTTACTTTACTTCGGCTATCTCCTACGGAAGGATGAGCCGGCTTCATGAACATCTCGAATCATCGCTGCCCAGGCGCGGCGATCGTCTGTAAGAGAGTTCATGAAGTTTCATGGGAATTTGGTACGAGTGATGTCCCCAGAATCGCTCGGCCTTTTGTTTGAGAGTGCAGCTCTAGCCTTTACACAACCAAGTGTGACCTACAAGGCAGTAGGAGTGGAGTAGGGAGTCCACTATCCATTGGCAGCCGGTGACCGGAGTTCGGTTCATACGCCTTTTTGAATGGGGCCAGACATCCAGGACATCCAACAAGCCCTTTGTCCATACGTCTGCCGGTGAGCTCCAGTGAGCTTCATACGCCAGTCGTTGGAGGTTTGGAATCAAGGTTTAGCCATCTCCCCTAGACTGTCATCCAATGGACAGTCAACCCAGTGAAGAGCGCCGGGCATCCGCTTTCGCCCTCTCACTTTGGTGAACTACACCTCCGCCACGTGAAGGCAGTGAGTAGGACTTCCTCAGGAGAGGCTATGTAAGACGCCCGGTCGTATGAGAGCATTTCAAGAGGTGTGCGGAGAGGTGGCCAACCCGCAGCACAAGGCATCCACCCCCGACCAGTGGTTCCTTAACTGATATCAATCAATCCACGATCAAACTCGAAATTCATACAAATAACAATCTTCGCAGAGTATTCAGCTGATGAGTCCTCCCACTGAAATTCACTAAATGGTGCTTTTTTCACAGTTGTAGCTTGTTTTAAACAACAGGGGAGACAAAGTCGGGTGAAGCAGAGGGAGTTAACCAGAAAGAAATACTAACTAGGAACAAATAGGCATAAAGGCAAGGATTTTACAAAATTATTTTTTTTTAAAGGTAGAGAGTCTAGGATTGTAATGAATACCAAGGCAAATTGAAGGGTTCAGCGCACTGACTCACCTTTGTCTAGAAATTTAAAGCAGACAGACAGACTGTGTGTTGAATGATTGATTACTCAGATATAAGTCAATATAGCATGTTTTGTAAATTAACATGGAGAATTGAACACATTTAAATATTCGCAATATACTCTCAACTACAATGGTGTAAACTGGAAAATGATGTCTAGATTGATATACGAACGTCAGTACTTAAGGAAAACACAAGTTTACACAGTATGAAAAGCAACTGTCAAAACAGAAAGGCAGATGCCATTTAAATCATTATTTTTTTGTTTTGTCATGCCACTATTCTGGTAGCTTTTGCGAACATGTAACACATATCATACATGTTTATTAGAAGACAAACAGGCGGCCTGCTTAAAACTTGGGCTACCAAAAACGTTCATCTCTATTTTTGATTGGACACTAGTGAGTAACTAATGCAATGTGTCTATTCCTATCTTCGGTGCAGACTGAATTCTATCAGTCAAGCTTGCAATGTGGCCACCATACCACTAGGTGGCTCGTCATCACGGTGCACTGCACTGCGAATTGTTGATATTAGATGGTTGCAGACAATCGGCAGGAAGCCTTGGACCTAGGTTTCGTGCCAGTTGGCACTCTTCAACAGTAGTCACCCGTGACTCCAACAGGTGTTGAATCCAGAACTTCCATGCTATAAGACGAGCTTGTTGACTATCCAACCACTGGGGTGGAACCCAATGAATCCCATGAATTCTACCTTCTGTCAACTCGAGATTTTAGCGCGACTACCGACTAACGCCAACAGTGAGTATTTGTCATCACACTCAATACATCAAATCTTCAGGAGCTAACCCTTAAAAAATTAATCCAGTGCTCACTAGCGACCGATCGATAATAATAAGTGATTTTCGTACAAGTATGCAACTTTCAGCATGCAGTACAGTACAGAATGTAATTTTCTTATTACACGGGTAATAATTAAAACAGGCCATTTACATTCATAATACTGTTTAATATGAACATGAATATATGACTAAATTAAATGAAAATATTAACAACAGTAAAATAATGACGTGATATCCGGCTGACTATCGATCAAAGGACGTGTGTACTACCCAGCAGTTCTCTCTGTGCTCATTTATGGCTGTGAGTGAGACATGGTCATTGAAAGTGGAAGACATGAATGTAAAGGCTAGCTAGCTGTCCTTTCATCACAGGTGTCTGCGTTCTATCTCCCATATTATGTGGTACTATAGGGTGATTAATATCGAGCTGAGGGGAAGTCAATCGACGAGGTTGTGAAGTTGCATCGATTGATGTGGTTATGACATGTGTCGTTACGCATGACTAGACATCACCTTCTTCGACGAGCAATGTAAGCTGATGTAGCGTCAGGTTGAGAAAGAGCTAGTAGTGGTCAAACCAAAAAATTCCCTTATCAGCCAATGAGATCGATAACTGTTAGTTTGAGCCAGCCATGTAAGGGGTGTGTGTGTGCAGACTGCCTGAATGGCTTAGTTGGGATCCTCAGAATGGTAAGAACTAATGAA